AACTCTCCTGGGCCAGTGATTACTACTGCCCCATCAGCCTCCCGAGTAGCTGGGACTCCAGTCGCCCAGTAAATGCCTGGCTAATTTTTGTATTTGTAAATATATAAAATTTTATAGTTGCGTCAGTTAGATTTCTTCTTTCTTTTTTTTTTTTTTGAGACGAGTCTCAACTTTGTTGCCCAGGCCATAAAGTGAGTGCCGCTGCGATCAGCCTACTCACAGCAACCTCAATCTCCGGGGCTACAGGATCCTACTCTGGCCATCAGCCTCCGAAATACTTGGCACTACAGGCATAGGACCCACCCATGCCGACTAATTTATTTGTTTATATTTTTTAGTGTGGTCAATTAAATTTATTCCTATTTTTGGCTAGGAGGGGTCTCCGATCGCGGCTGGTTTCGAACTCCCTGGAACACTTAACAAATCCGCCCGCCTCGGCCTCCCGAGTGCTGTTAACAAGGCGATGAGACCACGCCCGGCCCTGGCTGTCTCTTTCACGGCAACTTTCTTCCAGATCCTGGATGCCATTCAGTCTTATGCCTTAGATTACTGCTCGCAACTCTTTGGTCTCCTTACTCTAGAACAATTACTCAACCTTTGTCTCTCCTGAATTGAAATTTTTACAGTGCAGTCCCGTTGTTTTGGAGAATGTCCCTCAATCTGGGCTTGCCTGATGTTTCCTCCTGATTAGATTTTGGTTGTGCATCGGGGCCAGGATGCCACTAAAGTGTCCTTAGTGCCTCCTGCCAGGGGGGATACAGTGTCCGTGATGTCAGCCCTGACTGCTTGGTAAAGGTGTCGACCTGCTCTCTCCACTGTACAGCAACCAACTTTCCATTCGTAATTAATAAGTTAACTGCGGAGAGAGGCTGCATTTTAATCACTTTTGAATTCCTCATTGCCAAACGGCCATCTACGTTCAACAAACACCTGCTGGTGACAAAGGAAACCCTGGCCAGGTGCGGTGGCTCATGCCTGTGATCCCAGCACTTTGGGAGGTCCACGTGGGAGTATGGCTTGAGGCCAGGGTAGAGTGCAGTATTCTATGTAGACCTATTTCTATGTGGACACACAGAAACATACATAAGCGTATATGTGAAAAATGCATATACTGCAAGAAGTAATCGTTCCTAACATTTATATTCTCTTCTGCTTTCTTTTGGTAACAGACTTCCACTAAGTTGCAGTTGGGCTCACCGCTTCCTGCTATAGACTACATTTCCCAGCCTCCCTTGCAGGTAGCTGTAGCGGCATAACTAAGAGTTAGCCAATAGGATGCAATTCCAGAAGTGACGTGTGCAAGTTCTACACCACAGTTTTTATTAGGAACTGCTCGCCCTCTACTCTCTTTCCCTGGCTGGAATAGGGTAACGACCTGGGTCCTTTTAAACCGGGGCGGAAGCCACACAGTGCAGATGCCAGAGCCCAGGTCCCTTCCCCAACCAAACCAACCTGGTCCCAAGGTGGCCCCGTGTGATAGAGCTTCCCACCTGTGATGGTTCAAAACATGACCACCCATTCTTTAGCATGCCTCTCCCATACAGAGGGATGAGGTCTCTGTTTCCTCGCTTGAAACCTAGGTCAGCTTGTGACTGGTTTGACCAATGGAATATAGCAGAAGTGACACTATGCAACTTCTGAGAGAAAGTCACTGAAGGCCATGTGGCTTCCAGCTCATTTGATGTAGCACTTGCTCTTGGAGGAAAAAGTCCCACGACCCTGAAGCCACCGTGCTCTATGGAAGCTCTAACCACGCGCAGAAGTCACATGTAGGCACTCCAGCCAGTAGTTTCAATAAATCTTGTCATTTCAGCCTAGGTGCCAGATGTGCACATACAGAAATAATTCCAGCCCCAGCTAAGTCCCCAGACTTCATAAGGCACAGTAACATCAGAATCCCACTACACCAAAAAAGTCTAAACTAACCGACCACAGAATCCGTAAAAACGCAGAGTATAAAAAAAAATATAAAACGCAAAATAGAAACAAATGAGACCAGCACCGTGGGAAAACCAAACCTACCCATCTAGAAATAAATACATAGAAGAAAGAATATAAAAAAAATTATATAGCAATAGTTGAGTCTCGGGTTAAATAAAAAAAAAAAAAAAAAAAAAAAACAGGAAATAAAAGCTTAGACCCTAAAACACACACTTATATTGACTCTTTAAAAATACATTAATACTGGCCAGAAAGGGCGCTAGTGGGTAAAAATAGTCAATATAAGCACCTCGCGGAATTAAGAGAGAAGAAAGCTAATATACAAAACCTAGGAGTTAAAAAGAAACCAAAGCCCTCCCAGCAAGAAAAGAAACCAAAAAAAAAAAAAAAAAAATAAAACCATCATCACTATAAAAAAAAATTAGAAGTGTAAAAAAAATGCGAAAAGAGTAAAAACCTAACT